CTGCTCCCCTCAGCAGTGTTCTTCGTGGATCTGCCTGTTCTGTTCCCCACTCTGTCTCTGGTGAAGCCTCTCACCGCCCCTGCATCTCTGGCCTGTGTACCCCAGTTCTGTATGTATAAATAAATAAATCCTTATAAAAAATAGTAGCATCAGGATAGGTGTGTATATAGATCAGTGAACAGAATTGAGAATCTAAAAGTAATCTTAGACATGTATAGTCAATTGATTTTCAGTAGAGGAGCCACCAAATTCAGTGGGAATATGCTCTTCTTTAACAGGCTGGGATCATGGGTTATCCATATGTAAAAAATAATTATTATTACTACTTCACACCATGCCCAAAACATCAACTTAAAAGGGATCATAGACCCAAATATAAAAGCAAAAGCTACAAAAATTCTGAAAGCAAACAGAAAATCTTCATTAACTCATTTAATCAGAGTTCTTAGATACCAACACCAAGAATAAAAATGAATTGGACTTTCTTAAATTACAAATCTGTGTACTTCAAAAGATACCATGAAGAAAATGAAAAGACATGTTACAGGGTAACCCCCAATGTAAAAAGACATGTTACAGGGTAACCCCCAATGTGAATTGGGCTTCCTGACTGTGGGTCCTTACCTGCATGCTTAAAAGGGACTTCTAGTAAGATTTAACTGCAGGCCAACAGAGGAAGTTACTAATAATGGGTTTTATTTACAAGGGAAAGGAATTTGAATAACTCAGGAAAAGAGAGAGAAAGAAGTAAATTTGCTAATGCATCCTACCAGTTCCGCTGACCTGGAATCCCAATAGCACACTGAGAGCCAGTGAAAAACCAAGAGCTCAGCCGCAAGCTATGAGGCCAGGAGATCGCAAAGCCCAAAATGTCTGGTCTTATCTCTAAACAGATTATACAGATGCTTAACTCCACCCTCGGATCCTAGCAAAACTCCCTTTGGTGTTTCTGGGATTTGTAGTTCCAGTGTCTGGTGAGGGGGTGGAGCCCACAAAACTTGTATCTGTAGAGTTCATTCAGGACATCTTTCCCCCTAACAGACACACTGTAGATTAGAAGATATTTGTTAATTATATCTGATAAGGGACGTGACTGAGACTATATTAAAAACTCCTAAAGCTCAATCACGAAAAGTCAACCCAGTTTAAAAATATAAAAAGGGGGCCCTCCCTGGTGGCGCAGCGGGTTAAAGCACAGCACTGAGAATCTAAAAGCCGCTTCCGCATGAGTTCGATTCCCGCCTG